TAACTAAGATAACAGTAAGGTTACTGTTGATTACCAGGTCTTGTGATATAATAACTAAGATAACAGTAAGGTTACTGTTGATTACCAGGTCTTGTGATATAATAACTAAGATAACAGTAAGGTTACTGTTGATTACCAGGTCTTGTGATATAATAACTAAGATAACAGTAACGTTACTGTTGATTACCAGGTCTTGTGGTATAATAACTAAGATAACAACAAGGTTAACAAAATCTGTTATGTTATAACCTCTGATTAAATAACTGCTGCAAACAGAGGAAGGAATGAGCGTTATGTCATTATAACGTCATTACAACGTCAGTTTTACGTCAGTATGACTTTAATTCAATATAACGTTAATATTACGTCAGTATAGTGTTTGTTTAGCGTCGGTATAGCGTCTGCTTAACGTCAGTATATCGTCTGTTTAGTGTCGGTATAGCGTCTGTTTTACGAAAATATTACGTCATATTACGTCAAATTCACGTCAGTGTAACGTAGGTTTCAGTCAATATAACGTAAATTTCACGGCAAGTGTTACGTCAGTCTAGCGTCAAGTGTTAGGTCATTTACGTCACATATAACGTCATCTACGTCAGATATTACGTCACTCACGTCAGGTATTACATCACTCACGTCAAACATTATGTCACTCACGTCAATACTGCGTCACTTAGGTCAGATATAACAATGATTTCTTCAGATATTACGTCGATTACGTCACATACTGCGTCACTCATGACAAATCTTATCATTAGATATTCCATAGTTACGTCAAATATTATGTCATTTACGTCCGATATTGCGTCACATCATATATTACGTCAATTACATCAGATATTACATCACTTTTCTTCATTTACACATCTTAAATCACAACAATTACGTCAGATAATACGTCATAAATCACAATACATACGTCAGATAATAGTATATATTCTTACCCCAGCTGTTGTGTATCTCCTTTGAATATTCACACAAATTCATAATAATTTCTTATATACGTCGAAGTCGACGCTATTACGTCGCTTGAGACGTCATTGGCATCTTCAGGAGTCTCTTGACCAGTCATACTGTTGAGGTTAGCATTTTTCCTTTCAAGAAATTCTTTTCTTACAATGGTAATAATGATTGTAAATGTATGGGAAACGTGAAAGATGTAAGACAGTCGCGATGTCACTGGTAGGTGCGTCAAGGGATGTAAGACAGCCCTGAAGTCACTGGTAGGTGCGTCAAGGGATGTAAGACAGCCCTGAAGTCACTGGTAGGTGCGTCAAGGGATGTAAGACAGCCCTGAAGTCACTGGTAGGTGCGTCAAGGGATGTAAGACAGTCCTGAAGTCACTAGTAGGTGCGTCAAGGGATGTACGACAATCCTGAAGTCACTGGTGGGTGCGTCAATGGATGTAAGACAGCCCTGAAGTCACTGGTAGGTGCGTCAAGGGATTTAGGACAATTCTGAAGTCACTGGTAGGTGCGTCAAGGGATGTAGGACAATTCTGAAGTCACTGGTAGGTGCGTCAAGGGATGTAAGACAGTCCTGAAGTCACTGGTAGGTGCGTCAAGGGATGTAAGACAGTCCTGAAGTCACTGGTAGGTGCGTCAAGGGATGTAAGACACTCCTGATGTCACTGTTGGGTGCGTCAAGGAGCATAAGACACTCCTGATGTCACTAATAGGTGCGTCAAGGGATGTAATACAATTCTAAAGTCACTGGTAGGTGCGTCAAGGGATGTAAGACAGTCCTGAAGTCACTGGTAGGTGCGTCAAGGGATGTAAGACAATCCTGAAGTCACTGGTAGGTGCGTCAAGGGATGTAAGACAATCCTGAAGTCACTGGTAGGTGCGTCAAGGGATGTAAGACACTCCTGATGTCACTGTTGGGTGCGTCAAGGAGCATAAGACACTCCTGCTGTCACTGACGGGTGCGTCAATTGATGTAAGACACTGCTGGATATGGTAATACACACAGTCAGTGAACCATCACAGTGTCAGAGCGCACAGCACAACAACACTTGTCTTTTAACCAGGTCGACGTTTCTGTAGCGTCGTGAGTGGTGCAAGACATACACACAGGCAAACATAGTTACATACATAGTTACATACACATGCACAGATAATTTACACATATAGAGAGACGACTTACCTGAGGCTAGGAAGATAAGAGCCAGCCAGCGTGCCACGACACCTGACAGAGTCGTCATGTTAGTGGTCGTCCTGTGAGTCGTCTCAGAACACCTCCACACTCACGCACTCAGAGCAATCCTCAAGTTAACACGTTCACTCACAGGTGTAAAGTCTCCAGGATGCTAGCGAGTCTTTTTAAGTTCGTTCAGGGTTAAGTCACTCTGAGGGAAGGTACTAGCTTCCTCGGTTCTTTGGTCGGATGCTTCGGGTGTGTGTGTGCGTTGATGTAGAGTCGGGTAGACGCGGTGCGTGCATCAGAGTGCCACCACGTGTAGAGAACTAGTGCCAGGTGCGACGCACTGCCTCATGCGCTGCGTGAGTGCCACTGATAACACCTTGGCGCTCACACCCGCTTATCTTTACCAGGGCTCCACCCACTAGCCAGGTGGAGTGCCGGATGGCCCCGATACCTGCACTCATATCGCTAATTATCCCTTTATTATTCTCCTTTTCACGTCCTCCCTATCTCTCCTTACCATCTTCCAGCCTCTTACTAGCTAATGAAGAAAAGGAATGACAAAAACGAAGATAATTAAAAGCGTAATGTTAATAATAAGCGATAATGTTTATGGTTGTTGTGGTGTGTGAGCATGGAGGTGCGCGGGACTACTGCGCACAGGTGAGGCTTGGATGCCAGGGGGGTGGCCCGAGGATGCCAGGTGCCAACACCCGCACTCCTCGGCTGGAAGCCAAAGGGGCAACACGTGCCACCTCAGCCTCCTGACTCATGTATCAACACAGCTCTCACTGATGTCTCACCTTCCTGCAGTGCTAACTTTAAAGATGCATATATAATGAAGTCGAGTGTGAAGTCTATCACACTTTTCCACTACACTGTCTATTATACACAACATTTAATGTAAAAAATAATAAATTGAATTGAAACATTATTCTTGACAGGAAATATTGTTCTTGACTGGACACATTATTATTCTTGATTTTAGACAACATTATTCTTGACTTGAAACATTATTCTTGATTATAAATATTATTCTTCCGCGAGTCAGAAGTTTTTATTTCTCATAGCAGAATATATGTAAGTTTGAAGTCTATTGTGCTGTTTAATATGTGTAAGATAGTTGAGTCTTGTTTATGACTGACAACAGCTGTGTAGTGAGTAGGTGTAGGTGGTGTAGCTATCCTGCTGGTGTAGGTGTAGGTGGTGTAGCTACCCTGCTGGTGTAGGTGTAGGTGGTGTAGCTACCCTGCTGGTGTAGGTGTAGGTGGTGTAGCTATCCTGCTGGTGTAGGTGTAGGTGGTGTAGCTATCCTGCTGGTGTAGGTGTAGGTGGTGTAGCTATCTTGCTGGTGTAGGTGTAGGTGGTGTAGCTATCCTGCTGGTGTAGGTGTAGGTGGTGTAGCTATCCTGCTGGTGTAGGGTGTAGGTGGTGTAGCTATCCTGCTGGTGTAGGTGTAGGTGGTGTAGCTATCCTGCTGGTGTAGGTGTAGGTGGTGTAGCTATCCTGCTGGTGTAGGTGTAGGTGGTGTAGCTATCCTGCTGGTGTAGGTGTAGGTGGTGTAGCTATCGTGCTGATGTAGGTGTAGGTGGTGTAGCTACCCTGCTGGTGTAGGTGTAGGTGGTGTAGCTATCCTGCTGGTGTAGAGGTAAGTGGTGTAGCTATCCTGCTGGTGTAGGTGTAGGTGGTGTAGCTATCTTGTTGGTGTAGAGGTAACTGGTGTAGCTATCCTGTTGGTGTAAGTGGTGTAGCTATCATGCTGGTGTAGGTGTAGGTGGTGTAGCTATCCTGCTGGTGTAGGTGTAGGTGGTGTAGCTATCCTGCTGGTGTAAGTGGTGGAGCTATCATGCTGGTGTAGGTGTAGGTGGTATAGCTATCCTGCTGGTGTAGGTGTAGGTGGTGTAGCTATCCTGCTGGTGTAGAGGTAAGTGGTGTAGCTATCCTGCTGGTGTAGAGTTTGGTGGTGTAGCTACACCAGGAGAATTACACTTGTGAAGTACTTTGTCTTTGCTTCAGAAAGTTTGACCTGTTTAATAGTCTTATTCAGCAGAATACAGGCGACTGACAGCGTCCCACCGACGCTGACGGACTGTTTATATGTTCTCTTTGTACTGCTTCCAGTATTTTCTACGCCTGTATACGACTGAAAGAGCCTGTCACGCAGGCGATACGTTTCGGAAACTACCCAAGTGTTGGTATATTTATTTCTTAATATATAGTTAGAGTACTCACTTATCTGTGGTTGTAGGGGTCGAGTCACGGTTCTTGGTTTAACTTCGTGACTACAGTAACTCATTTGCATATTTAACTTACATCTATGCCTCCTTGTTTCCGGTCTCCTCCTTTCCAACTCTGAGAAATATGCGCCTCTAGGTGTTTATACATAGAAATACACACCTTTCAGTGTATGTATACTGTGACCTTCACACCTCTTGATGTATACACGCAGATTCACATCTCTCAATCTACTCACGCAAATATACACACCTCTCAGTGGATATGTATGGAGAATATACACACCAAACGGTGTGTATACTCTTTAAAGCTGGTTGGTTAACTGAGTTTAAAGCCAATCGGCTATATGAGGGCCATTAATGCTGCATGTATACTGTCCATCACCCGACAACAATACTTTAATCCTTAAAACAAAGATCAAATAAACTCTCAGCATATATACTGTGAGAGACATACACCTCATGGTGTGTATAATGAGCATATATACTGTGAGAGACATACACCTCATGGTGTGTATAATGAGCATATATACTCTGAGAGACATACACCTCATGGTGTGTATAATGAGCATATATACTGTGAGAGACATACACCTCATGGTGTGTATAATGAGCATATATACTCTGAGAGACATACACCTTATGGTGTGTATAATGAGCATATATATACTCTGAGAGACATACACCTCATGGTGTGTATAATGAGCATATATACTCTGAGAGACATACACCTTATGGTGTGTATAATGAGCATATATATACTCTGAGAGACATACACCTCATGGTGTGTATAATGAGCATATATACTCTGAGAGACATACACCTCATGGTGTGTATAATGAGCATATCTACTCTGAGAGACATACACCTCATGGTGTGTATAATGAGCATATATACTGTGAGAGACATACACCTCATGGTGTGTATAATGAGCATATCTACTCTGAGAGACATACACCTCATGGTGTGTATAATGAGCATATATACTGTGAGAGACATACACCTCGTGGTGTGTATAATGAGCATATATACTCTGAGAGACATACACCTCATGGTGTGTATAATGAACATATATACTCTGGGAGACATACACCTCATGGTGTGTATAATGAGCATATCTACTCTGAGAGACATACACCTCATGGTGTGTATAATGAGCATATATACTGTGAGAGACATACACCTCGTGGTGTGTATAATGAACATATATACTCTGGGAGACATACACCTCATGGTGTGTATAATGAGCATATCTACTCTGAGAGACATACACCTCATGGTGTGTATAATGAGCATATATACTCTGAGAGACATACACCTCATGGTGTGTATAATGAAACATATATACTGGGAGACATACACCTCATGGTGTTATAATGAGCATATATACTCTGGGAGACATACACCTCATGGTGGTATAATGAACATATATACTCTGGGAGACATACACCCCCATGGTGTGTATAATGAGCATATAAACTCTGGAGACATACACCTCATGGTGTGTATAATGAACATATATACTCTGGGAGACATACACCTCATGGTGTGTATAATGAACATATATACTCTGGGAGACATACACCTCATGGTGTGTATAATGAACATATATACTCTGGAGACATACACCTCATGGTGTGTATAATGAACATATATACCTGGGAGACATACACCTCATGGTGTGTATAATGAACATATATACTCTGGAGACATACACCTCATGGTGTGTATAATGAACATATATACTCTGGGAGACATACACCTCATGGTGTGTATAATGAACATATATACTCTGGGAGACATACACCTCATGGTGTGTATAATGAGCATATATACTGTGAGAGACATACACCTCATGTGTTTTATAATGAGCATATATACTCTGAGAGACATACACCTCATGGTGTGTATAATGAACATATATACTCTGGGAGACATACACCTCATGGTGTGTATAATGAACATATATACTCTGGGAGACATACACCTCATGGTGTGTATAATGAACATATATACTCTGGGAGACATACACCTCATGGTGTGTATAATGAGCATATATACTGTGAGAGACATACACCTCATGGTGTGTATAATGAGCATATATACTCTGAGAGACATACACCTCGTGGTGTGTATAATGATAATAACATTGAATTAATTATGAACAACGAGTTATTATTAAAAAATCATATAACAGATCCAGTAAAAAGCTTTAATAATATTATTCTATAAAAAATATTATAGCTATGAATTTCGTGGACAGAGGAATGCATTTTTTCGGTAATACATTAAATATAAACTTACAAATGAAAATTTAATGTGGTCTTTGTACTTTAAAAATTATCGAATCTTCTGCGTATCTTGTACGTCGTTATCGTGTCTCCCCTGGTTTTACTATATTCTAGTGTGATTTAGATTGGTTGGTATAGTCTTAATTCATAGGTTTAATTAAAATCATCCATTTGGTGATTTATACTTAGAATTATCGCGTCCATACTGCTTCATATATTACTAGCACCAGCAACATTACTCATCATATTACTGCACCACAACTTTAAATCATCATATTACTAGCACCAGCAACATTACTCACCATATTACTAGCACCAGCAACATTACTCATCATATTACTAGCACCAGCAACATTACTCATCATATTACTAGCACCAGCAACATTACTCACCATATTACTAGCACCAGCAACATTACTCATCATATTACTAGCACCAGCAACATTACTCATCATATTACTAGCACCAGCAACATTACTCATCATATTACTAGCACCAGCAACATTACTCACCATATTACTAGCACCAGAAAACATTCCCTAATCTTTATTACTAAACCAGCAACATTACTCATCATATTACTAGCACCAGCACATTACTCATCATATTGCTAGCACCAACAACATTAATCACCATATTGCTAGCACCAGCAACATGACTCAACATATTGCTAGCACCAACAACATGACTCAACATATTGCTAGCACCAGCAACATGACTCAACATATTACTAGCACCAGCAACATGACTCAACATATTACTAGCACCAGCAACATGACTCAACATATTGCTAGCACCAGCAACATGACTCACCATATTGCTAGCACCAGCAA